AAAAATGACATTGTTGTTGTTGGATTTACGGTTACTGATCAATGAATGACCGAAGTGAGCTGAAAACTGGTATATTTGTATTCTACGGGTGAAGGTTTGTTATCAAAGTGGACATCAGAATTTGAAAGGAGTAATTTTGACCTCCAAATGGTTTCTTTTCCTGAAAGTTCTCAAAATTTTCAAAAACTATTCTTCCAATAATTAATACTTTCTTAAAGTTTTAAAATTTATTTTCCTGCAAAGGTGCATTGGTGATGATTTCTTATGCCGAAGAATAATTAAAAATACTCTGATTTGATTCCAACCGATCTGCTGTGATTGCATACAAAAGCAAGGTGCTAAAAGTTGACCGACGCTTGTATGTATTTTCAAGCATTTTTCTAATATTTGAAGAACATCTTTAAAGCGTTCTTAAATTTATTTTATTTTTCTATTGTAATATTCACATTTGGCAACCGTAGTTTACCTCGAAAAACTTTATAATTTATTAAATATATTGTAGTTTTTTTTTTTTTAATTTTCAATATAAAATTTTGGGAGCTTTTTTTTATTATATTTGTTTTCACAAAAATGTTAAAACTTGTTTTTTGTGCATAGATATTATTAGAAGTGATAACAGGCTGCAACCGATTGACTCTTAAATTTAAATTGCCATGGCATTTTGATACTTGGCATTGCTGTAACCAAACAAATTTAAAGAACAAGGAGATCGAGATGCCTAAAAATAGACTGCCTCCAGATAATAATCAAAAGTTAAGGGTGAAAAGTGCAAACATTAAGGCAGTCGCGTAATTATTGTCCCAAGTAAATATTTTTGTAATTACAAACTTCTCTGTTTACTCTTTTCATTATCTCTACGCAGTGAGCAGTGAGCAGTGCGTCCATTGGATGAGCTATTCAGCATTTCGCCAAGCCTGCGAAGGGGTTGCTGATGCGGTAAAGAAAGAGTCGCATCATCGATGTACTTACCGCCAAAACTGAGAAACGAAATTAGATATTTTGGGCATTAAAATTGACTGTTCAGCAGCGTGTACTTCGGGCATTCTTAATGAGTGTTGTATTGTGGCTATGCTTCCACTTAAATTAAATACCAAATAGTTTTGCCTGCTAAAATTAAAATTTTAATTTACAATAAATTTTAAGCAACTCGCATTTAGTTACTCATTAAAATTCTCTTCTTCTTCTTCTTCTTCTTCTTCTTCTTCTTAGTTCTTAACAGAAAGTAAATGTTTTCAATTTTTCAATGCATTTGGTAAATTATTTACCGTCAATACACTGCTGGCCTACATACGCACATTTACGCACTATATGTAAGTCGCAGCCACGCACAACAACACTTGGCTGTTGTTATGGGTAAGCAGCTGGAATTAATTTCAGACCTTTTTTTATAGAACTTGGAAACGAAAATATTTAGTTTTTGCGCGATTTTGTGTTTATAAGTATTTGGGTTCTTTGGAAATTACTGCAATACGAGTATATATGTATGTACGTAATCACATTCGACAAGTACAGTTGTTCCCTTTTTGTGTGTCGGCAATTCTATGTTGTTGGCTTTGTAAATTTATTCTTCTGCAATTTTCGTGTGCGCACTGGGCAAATGCGACTTTCCTGGCTTTAGGCGCTATTGCCACAGATAGCTGTGGTCGGTTTCTATACAGTCACTTTAGAGCGAAGTGAAAATTTTAGAAGTTCTCATCGACGTTTGAGAGAGAGGTACAAATTTCTGATACTTGAGATCCCTTAAAGTGCTTTCGTCAGTAACTCTTTCAGATGCCTCAAAGCCTGTGTATTGGAACTGGCTAAGGCTCATTCATTCATCACATTTCTCGTCCACTTTCGCCATCATGGAAGAGTTTGGGAATGCCGCTTTCCACTTGTAAACTCAATATTAGAGAGTTATTTATTAAGATGGGGAAGTCTTAGCACATGTAATGTGGCCAGGAAAATATGGCCAGAATGGAACAGTAGTAAATCACGTGACCTTTTCGAGATGAAAAGAAAGGACATGTCTACAGTTATAGGACTTCTTACAGGACATATCTTATCAGGCACGCAGGCTTAGAGATTGGGTGTGCCATTTAATGACCTCTGTAGAAGGTTAGACAGGAAGAGGCATCGGAAACTTAAAGGCACATTCTTTGCGAATGCCCCGCCCTTTGGAGGAGTATGCTGAAGTCTCCAGGGGCGGCAACCTTCGGAGAACTGAGCGAGATAGCGGGGACTAAGTTGCGACAACTGCTCAGTTTCGCACTGGTTCGATTAGCGGGTGGGCTCTTCTGGGATCGTAAGTGGCAACATAATGGGCCCGTTAGGGGCCTAGGTGTGCCGATGCCCGGCAGCCCCTTCTACCGACCAATCAGCCATGTCCAACACTTTCAAATTAAGTCCATATTTTCCATTTGCCCTTCACCTTTCGTTTACTATAATTATTTTCATTTAATGCTTACAAATACACGTATACCACTTTCAATTATCAAATAATAAATTCATAAATAACGAGTCATGATGCCTGCACTTTGCTAACGAGCGAGTTCGCATTAAATATGCGATGAAATTCCTTCAGTCAATTAGCGACTCTTTATCGGCTCAATTAGGCACAGCATTGCTTTTAAATATATTTAATCAGAATAAACTGAAATCAGTTCGTGAATGACTTTGTTTTATTTACTTGTGGATTTTACATAAGCTTACAGAGTGCAATAGGAGGCCAAATCATACATACATATATACATAAGTCCAAACTGCTTTACGGCAATTCTACTCCAGTTATTAATTTCCTCGTAATCTGTCATTAATGGCCCTACAGTGCCAAGCGAATTGTGAGATTCCGATTTTTATTGCAGTTCAATTATAAATGTTATACCAAATCCTGTATTTCGAATCCTTTTAATCCATTATTTCTGGGCAAATAAAAATGATATTTAGAGTAAACAGAAATAAATTGAATGGCTGCTTCGTTCATGGCTTTTACCTGTCATGACCATAACATAATTCCGTACCAATTTCCCACACTCATCAGCAACTCTGAATGGGGGAAGTGTGGGACAAGTTAACTACTTTTTGTTTTCGAAACAGAACTAAGAACTCTACGAAAAGGTATGGCGATATGGACGGTTTTAGTAGGGAGCCTAATACTTATAGGGCTCTTAAAGGTGGTCTTTTGACTGAAGCCCAGGGTATACTGAACTTATGGAGTGAACGCTTTTCCGGCATGCTGAACGAGACAGATTTTTTATTGCCCGACTATGAAGAAGTCCCAATAACTATTACCCACTTAAAATACATCAACAGATGGATTGGCGGCGCAATTATTAAAATAAGACGGTAAGGAACAGCTTCTTTTGCGGATATGTGCAGCTGCCGATATTTGGCACTTAAGTGTGCTCTGTGCAAACAAAGAAAATGAGGACCCCTAAGTCTGGGCTTATCACCGTGAGAGAATACTCCTGGCTATCGCAATATACTGTCCATAGAGGATATAGTGCGAAAGCCTAAAGCCCATTGTCAACAAACTAATTCATCCTGGTAAGTTCACCATTGAGAAGATATTCATAATTCGTTAATTCTTGGAAAATACCTGTGAAAAGAGGATCGACACATCCCACCTATTCAGTGATTTCAATGCAGCATTGGACAGAACATAAAGGTGGATCCTCGCAAAACTTATATGGCCATGTAAGCGGTTCACTGTCAAAGGAGGCTTCAGATAGGGTGATTCCTAATCTGGTGACTTCTTTTGTTTATTGCTCAAGAAAATAGTACAACTGCAGAACAGAATAAAGAAGAACAATCTACATTATTGGCCTCAACAACCGCGCCGTGAGTTCTAGTCTCGTAGTGAACGAAGGCAAACACCCATTGTATTCGCGATTCGACTCCCACGTCACTGCTGGCAATAATAACTTTGATGTTTTAAGTTTTAGTATTAAAACCAACAACAATGACAGCCTCACTCTTGCCAACAGGTGCTACTTTGGACTGAGCAGGCTTTCTATTGAATAAAAGTCCTTTCTCGATGAACAAACTCTATAAGCCACCCATTATTTCCGTCCTGCGATGTAGTGCGGAGGCGTGGAAGAGGGCAACATCTGCAGATACGCCGTTATAAGTTTTCGAAGGAAATGTTTCGCGTATGATTTAATTCATGGTTTAGTTGGTAACGGCGAATACCGCAGTCGATGAAATGATCAGCTGTGTGAGACATACGGCGACATTGACATAGTTCAGCGAATCAAGGAACGGTTACTCTGGCTAGGTAATGTGGTCCGGGTGGATAAGAATACTCCAGCTTGGAAAGTTTTCGGTGCAGGACGCGCTGGTTGAAGCAGAGGAAGAGGAAAGTCTTATGTTTGAACAAATGGGTTGAGTGGAGTCCAAGACCTTCTCTTAAAAAAAATCAAAGAGTAATTTTTTTTCTTCAATTTGATTGATCTTCCATTTTCAAAATACTCCCAAAATGCACGAAAAACGAAACAGAAAAAATAGCCGTTAGTTGTGCATATGTCATTGAGAAAGTCAGGGCTAGTTGATATTATTTATATTGCATAAGATTATCGGGATGGTCGTAGATTCTTCAGACATTTCTTACCTGCTTACATCCGAGATTACATAAAAAAATATTGTTTTTCAGTTTTCAGTTCAAATTTTAATTTCTTTATTTTATTTGGTTTGTTTGCTTTGCTTTCAGTCATTTTGGTAAACATAAAAATTAAAAAAAAAATAGTAAAAAATGAATTATTTATTAATAAATTGCTAATTTTAATAACAATTTCATTAAATATATTTCTCAGTTTTTATTTTTCTGTTTTGTGTGCTGACACGCATATTTCGAATGGAAACCGGATCATAACAACAAAAATAAACACATTCAAATCTGTAGAAAGTTACGCTCGGAAAGATGACAGACCACGGGAGACCACTTGCACTGGCACTTTTCTGGAGTCCGTTGATGGATCTAAATTCAAAATTCCTGTTTACTTGGCAACATTGATTGGTTGATTGTGTTGATTTTCCTTGCTGCCCTCAAAGTCTGAGGAGATCCAAAGTCCTGTTTTGATAGCTCAACTTCGAAATTGGAGATTCTGTAATTAATAGAGATGTAATTTCTCTTACATACATATTTTCTCTTGCAATAAGCTAACCTGCGTTGGAGAGGCCGAATAGGTGACAGCACGTACTAATAGCAGGGAGGATTTTCAATGCCTTCTACTGCTTGTAGATATTAAAATAAGCTCTAATTTGTAGGAGGCTTCGTTTGTATGAAAAACCTGATTTCAGGAGTACCTCGCTGAAGAGTGTCCCAAGTGCAGTCTCCTATTTTTTGCATTTGCTTAGAAGAGAGAGCGTAAACAAATATATTTTGAGAATACTTAGGGTTTCTTGAGCTGCATACCTGCTGAAGCACTGTGAAGACGATTTGGCTTAACAAAAACAACTACAAATACATTATTGAAAAAACCTCTGGAGATTTTGAATTTTTTGTTTGCATTGGTGTATCGGCGGCATTGTCACAAGTCCCCAGCAGTCAGCTCCCAGATGGTCATGTTTAGACTATGAGGTCTCGCTGTGAATTAAAAAAAGTATTCAGATATTTATTTTTACAAAAGAAGTTTAAATATTTTTAGATCAAACAAAGAGACAAACTTAATATATATTTTATTTGTGTTCATAAAATGACTAGAATTTTTATAAAAAAGATGTAAAAGCACAGTTATTTTAACTGAGGTTAAATAAAATGAAATTTCATGTTGTTGGCAAAATTAGTTATTATTTTCGAATAATTTTTGGAACACTTAGCCACTTTTTCACGTCGTGATTTCTTCAAGGTTGACTTTTACTTATTTTTCCACCGTTACCCTGCGTAAGTGCGCTGTGACGTTTCTATGACAGTCATTATCACTGTTATTTTACGCATATACATTTATGAACATTATGCAAAAAGGTCGAGGCGTATTAGCAAATTCACGCTTTCACACGCGCAACATGTTGCCAAAGTATTGTTGGCGACGCGACGCGACACCTGCTGCTGCATATCTAAACAAACAGACAAAGTCTCTTGCGCGTTGCTTTGGCAATTTTTTTGAAGTAAATTTTTTATGTTCCCTAAGTTGTGTATTCGCGAAAAAATGTAAAAGAAAATGGAAAATAATTTTCTCAGAATTTTATTCTTATTTCTCTAGCAGCTGTTATATTTTCTCGCTTAGTGCTTTTTGTCATTATTTCCTCTAAGACTTGTAAAAAATTATAAACACGTTACTTGTGCGCACATTCATTTGCATATACTCGTACGTATACATACGTATGTATGTGTGTACACAGGCTTATGCCTATGAATGTTTTTGAAGTTTTTTCCTCGAATATTTTCGTTTTTCTAGTGATTCGTGTCTTACAAGTTTTCCAATTTGGCTATGTATATGTACATATGTATTTATGGATTTTATTTCTACTTCTCAGACATTCTAACGCATTTTTAGTGACACAAACGTAAAAACTTTACTCGTTATTTGTTTGAAATAAATTTTTTAAAGTTTGCAAAGATCTCAAATCTGCAAGAAGTAAATTAAGCACACTGTTCCGAAGGCATTCTCGCCTTAAGTTAATAATTATTAGAAACTTTTCCAGTCGAGAAGTGAAAATGATATTTTTATTATTTACAGTTTTTTTTTACAATCTAGAGATTTGGGGCTGAGCAATGTTATTTTATAAGAATTAAAAGGCACAGCTATGACACTACACTATGACAAACTCCAGTGAATGTTTCTATGTTTGATTTCAAAGAAGAAAAGTTAAGTACCAGCGCCGAGAAAAAGGTAAAAAAAAATATGCTGTTTCTAAAGGCTAAAGCCTCTCACTTGAAACAATCAGTGATTATGGGGAAGGAATAACGCCGCAGTTTAACAGATGAAAGCAAAGCCTACTGAGTCCTTTTTCTTGTATTAAAGGGAGAGCGTTGTTTTGCTATTTGGTGCTCTCAGGCTTCATGCCTTAAAGTCGCTCTAACCTCTTGTCTATTGCTGAGTGGGGGTAGCAGTTTCGCCACTTTATAAAAGTGGGTTTTGTATTTGGTAATTCAATGATTCACTTTCCGCTCCCGCTCCATGCGTACTTCGATAAAGGTGTCTGCTCACCGCACGCCTTGCGTCAAAGTAGAGCATTTTCTCACCGAAAGTATTTATTTATTTGCAGACTTTTCGCTCTATATTTATAAATTGTTTTTGTTGTCGTTGTTGAATTTGGTTTACTTGTTTGCTGGTGCGGCTGGAAGGTGTTCTTCTTAGCACCTATTTTTTATTCCGTCTTGCTTGAGGCTCTTCAATTAAATTTATGGTTACATTTATCATAATTTTTTAACAACTACAATGGTGGAGGGTTTGGCACCAAAACTCACCAATCTACTAAATTAACACTCCATATATACATCAAATACATGTCCATTCATATATACCCTGCAGGGAAAAATACTAGTTGTTAACTAGAATCCAACTCGTTTGCATTTTTGCGCTAAAATATTTATCTTCGAACTACTTCCCTTATAAGCGACTGGTATTTCTAACAGGGCGATGCCTAACAAACTGTTAATTATGCGACTATGCATCAGATTTATACCAGTTGTGTACTAGTCCATTCAAGTAAGTTTAATTTTTACTTCACCAATAAAAAAAAGGAAATAATTTTAACATCAGTGTGACTCGAATCGTGGATCTTAAGCGCGAATGCTATAACAACTATAATAACTCGGCTACTATGGTAATGTAAGGAGAAGCGACATACAGCGCACCACAGCGGAGCACAACAGGAAGTTTAATATTCCGCATGCTGGAAATCACTGTAACGTGGCTTGGTGGTGGAAACTATTTTTAATCCCGTTGCTGGTGAACTCTTACACTTTTGTCAACAAATAGCGAACTGATAAGACCTCTTCTATTCACGGCAAGCGAAATGTTGGAAAGAGTATGCCGAAATTGGACTAAGAGGATGGACCATTTGAGGCACAGTCATGTCACATTAAATTATATGGACGGTACAACCGATTCAAATAAATATTTCATGCATTTTCCCAAATTTTATTTGTTTTTTTTTTCAACTTTCCTATAGCTCTTAAAAAATCACCCTTTGTTTCCAAGCTGTAAAGCGTGCCCAATAATTTGTTTGGTGCTTGTTTCAGCAAAAGTAAAATTGATGCCAAAACGTGCAAATCAAAACAGTTTTGAAGATTTAGCCTTGTTTTTGAGAACAACAAAAGTTCAGCTTTTTTGAACTAAAATTTTTCACTTTCAACTTGAAATTTTATTTAAGAACTCAAAGTAGGGTACATTTTGCTATTTTATCTTTCAACCAATCGAGTCTTCTTACTTCAGTCGTAAAGTTTCCAAATCAAATTTGAAGCTAACTTTGCACTGCCGGAGAGTTGAAGGTTGTAAGTTTTGAAATTGAATGAAATTGCTGTTTTCTTTCTGAAATTGAAAAGTTAAGTTTGATTTACGAGAAAAGAATTTTAAGGGGCATAGAGATGAAGATTAAGCTAAAGCGAAGTCCTTCCAACACATTTTATCCAATTTAATACAATTTAATAAATTATCTAAGGCGCATATATAATATATAAATATATGTACAATTTGAAGTTGCTGCAGCATTCGCTGTGCTTTTGTGACTTTTTTGTGAGGCGGCTGAATATTTGGAATCTTTTAATCCGAAAACCATGTTAAAAGTTAAAATACGACTATTGGGCATTTACAATTGTTTTAACATAAGCTCGCATGCCCATTTGCGCACATATATACAAGTATAAACGCTGGTGTAGCACATGCATGTTGCAAGTATTTTCCATTATATGCAGTCTGGCTTGGAAGAGAAATTTGACAAAAAAAGTTTGCAATTTTTTATACAAAAAGTGTTTCAACATACTTTTTACGCCCACGCACACATACGAATACATTTTAATGTAAGTATGTCCGCCAGTTGTCAAACATACGCTGCTCAGTTGTTAAACACTCGTAACACATGTTGTTGTAAATTTTGTAGACTCACACGCCTACGTTGGGCTGTGAACGTCATACGCTTAATTTTATTGCTTTAAAGCAAAGACAATTTTTTCCCTATTTATTGCATTCGTTGCCGAACTTCTGCGGCTGGTTTGCCTCAAAGAGTCTCACAAATGGGAATGACGAAAATTATTTTAGCAACACAGTTAATATGCGACATTAGAGAGCAGAGTGACCAATAAGTAAATCGACTAAGAATTATCAAGGAGTCTAATTTAAGTGAGAGTGTCCATTTCCGAGGCATAGCCGGAGAGTAAGTGTACTCAATTTTTTTAGGTTTTAAAAACCCTCGTCTTTGTGCTGGTGGCAAAGCGGGACACCAATTTGTTCAATTTTCGAAGAAGAAATTTTCCATCGACCCTTCGTCCCCGTTCGCACCGCCTGCTTTATGTCCTCGTGCACCTTGAGGATTGTAAGGTGATGATAATCTGACGGCGCTGGATCAGGTGAACGAGCAAAGGGTTCATAACCCCCCATTTAAGCCAGGCGAGAAGGTACTGCGTGACGTTGATGGGAAACACTCTGGCATTGTCGTGCAGCAAGCAGACTCCATTTGTCCACCAGACTCTTTTCTTGTTCTGAATTGTCCTCCACAGGGCTCTCAGGTTTTCAGACAGAGGTTTTCTCTTCCAAAAGTGACAGCATATGACGCCGTGTAGTTCGCTCTGGGCGTGATATTAGATTGAAATTGTTTACAAAACTTGTTGCTGCGTCGACAGTTATCAAATTTATTGACCTGGAACCAGTTTCCTTGCTAGGGTCAGAAGTATGGCTACACTATCGCGTTGCCAGCATGACGCAAATATAATCCCGGGAGAGGCTCATTACACTTATTTGCTTGATATACCTCATAGATACGAGTACATACAAAAAGCTTATATATATTTATATCCGCTCTTCAGCTCTTCTAATTAAAACTTGGGGAATATAGTATCTTTCTTCAAAAATTTTTAATAACAGAATTTTAAAACTTTAAACGCCGAAGATCTGAATGCTTGTGAAAGCAGCTGAAAAAATCCGTTCAAAGGAAGAAATCACCTGCAAGGCGTAAGCAGGAGACCAAAAAAATACGTTCCAGTTACAAAAAGCTCACATAGCTAACGCGTTTCTTTGCCACAGGAAGGAGTTAAATTAAATAAAATTTATGTGAAAAGAGAGCTGCGTGCCACGCCATGTGTCTCGTTGAGGAGAGAAATAATGTCTCAAGCAAAAGCTGAAGATGCGTGCCAAGGATAAAATAGCACAAAAGCGTGCAGAAGTAACAAATTTCCCGTGAACTCCAGCTACAGCTATTCTTTATTATTCTACAGGCAAGACAAAGGTGGGTAGTGGGAGTCCTTAGATAAATGCTAGAGAGTGGCGCGTGCGAAGTAGCGTCAAGGTTGCAATCTGTGTGGAGTTGATCTGCCAAACTCAGCTCACCGCAGTTCGCATGATACGTGCATTGTGGTTTCCGTTGCAACGACTCTAAAATACTGTTGCAAATTAGATCACACCCAGCTATGTGTGTGTGTGAGTCTGT